CCTACGACTTTTCAAGTCAAAATAAAAGTCTCTGTCTTTCTATATAGTGTGTAGGAAGACAAATGTTGTCAAAATTTGCATAATAAATAAATGTAAACAATAAATGTAAACATTTCTAGCAACAAAGGTTTGTGTCATTGCCTGCCACACGTTTCAGCACTATGCCAGGCAGGTGGCTGTTGTAAACAAACCTGTGGGGGGGAACACTAATTAAATGATATCAGCTTATTTTGGTTTACATAGCCTGTTTAGCTTATCAAGAGGCTGCTGATGCAGGCTGCGTTTTATTGCACTGTTGCCCCGATAAGGGGGGAAACAGGATTATATTGTTACTGGACTTTAGAGTCTGTATTTCTATAACTTTTAGGGCTTTGAAGTCTATTTTCCTCGTTTTTTTTCCTTTTTCCCAGACTTAATTTACAGGAATAACCATTTTTTTTCTCCACAGGGGATATGTTTATAACCATCCCTCAGGATATTTCTGTTTGATGTGATTCATAAGTTGACATATGTTTTTCCTTGTTGGTTACACATCACAGTGCTATATTGTCTTACCTTTGCATAAAACTGAAGAAAAAAACAACAACATTCAACTGAGCTGAATTTCAAATATTTTGCCCTGATTTAAAGGAAGGGAATTTTATCGACTTAGTCCCCAGATTTCAGGGGGCTCTGTGGGCCTTGCTTAGATGGGACAGAGCAGCTTGTTTGACTATGAACACCCACCTGTCCAAGTTTAGCTTTGCATTCAGGATCCACTGGAGCTTTTCCCTTCATCACCACCGTCTTCACCACTTCTGCTCAGCAAACAGACACATTCCTTTAATGTGAGAGTCTAAACTCAATTCATGATCTTTAAATGCATTACTGGTTGTTTATGAGTCTGCCATTTGATTCTGTATATTTAAAGGAAAAGTCTGGTCAGCAAGGAATAATCGATATGTTTGTGGTGATTTAATGAATATATCATTAATCAGTAGAAAAATAAAAATAATTTTCATTGCGATCCCTGAATCTGGAGGCGACCATTTTTGCCCAAATATAGTAGGGGTGGAACGGCTCACAAAATCCACAGTTTGTTTTGGTTCACCGCTTCTTGGTCACTGTTTTGGGTTTGGTTCGGTATATGTTGATTGTTAGCCTGACGTGTTGGTCATGTTCCTGTTAGCATAAAC